ATTTTCTGAACAGTGGCATGTATTGTGGTTGAGTATATACTTAGGAGACTTGCCAGATTGTGGAGGACATGTATGATCAGCTTTAGAAGATACTACCAATTTTTCGAACTGGTTAAACTAATTGACTCCCCTACTAGTAGTGGATGAGTGCTCCGCATTCTTTCAATACTTTGTGTTTTCTTTCTTCATTTTTTGCAGTAGCGTAACATAGTGACTTTCACTTACATTTCTTTGATGACTAATGAAATTGAGCACCTTTTCATGGCTAATTGACCATTCAGCTATCTTTCCCTGCACCGGCCCCCCTTTTTTTCCTTTAGCAACTTTATTTTTTTGTATTGAACTGGTGTTACACTGTGCTTTATGTAAGTTCCAGGCATTCATCCTCGAGATCCTTTCTCCTTTTGTCAAATGCCTATTTGTTTTTTTTTCTACTTTTCTGTTGGGATTTTTTTTCTTAATTGATTTGCAGGCATTCCCTATATATTCTGAATGAGTCCTTTGGAAATACATATCACAGACATCTATTCGGTGTGTTTAAAATGTAATTTACATTTCATGAAATATTATGATCTTAAGAGTATCATACAGTCAGTTTATCAAGACAGGACATTTTCATCACATAGAAAGTTTACTTGTCTACCTTCCCTATTAACATCCTCCTTCACAAAAGCAACCCCTATTCTAGGATTTTATATGAACGATTTCCTATGGTATATATTTTTTGTGTTTAGCTTTTTTCACTTAGCATATTTTTGCGTCTCATCTATTTTGCTGCAGGTATCCATATCCATTCTTTTTCATTGCCAAGTAGTATTCCATAACAGATCACACCACTTTCTTAAGTCTCCTGTTGATGCACATCTGCATTGTTTCCAGTGTCTGGTTATTGTGAATAAAACTGCTATGAACATTCGTGTAAAGGATTTTTATGGATATAGCATTCACCTTTTTAAAATTCATCAAGGATTTTTTTTTCTTTAATCATACTACACTTTCAGTTTGCATATTTTTTCTAGGAAGTCCACATATATGACAGCTTGCATTCATGCAAAAGATAAAGCACTTATTTCATAAAAGAAATGATTAGGAAAAAAAGCAACAGGATCCCATTAATTTGCTCCCCTAATAACTTAAGTTAAGCATATTACAAACAATTGCTTGTGAATATAAGTTAATTTCTCTACTCACTTGGATTTGTCCCTCTTCCCCACTTGTATGAACATGCCTAATTAGCTTTATACTAGCTATTTGCAGTTGCATTAATAGACACCTTGTCTTTTGAAGGAAGAGGATTATTTGGCTAAATATCTTAGTTTCAGAACAGACTAAATTCAGCTCGGGGTGAGGGCCGGTGAACATGCTGCGCGCCGGCATCATGCGCTGGCTAGAGAGGACAGCGGTAGGCAGAAGAACTGTGCTGAGTGGCACACTGGCAGAGTGTGGGGTAAGAACGGTTAGCCTAAGTGAAACAATACAGCTCTGTTGAACGCATCCTGGGGCCTCTGTTGTTATTTTCTGTAAATACTTCTTGAAACACGAGAGCTTTGATCTTGTTGCCAAAAGAACAGGAGTTCATACACATTTTCTAACTTTATAGGCAGTATTTTCCTTTCATTCCATGGTCTCCTCTGTCTCCCTCGCGTTCAGCCTGAGAAAGTGGTGTGGGACTGGATCCCTGGAAGTCACGGGGCTGAAGTAAAGCACAGCTCATGTCTGCTGCTTATGGGGAAACCAGGGATGCTCTTCTCCAGATCGCTGGCTCCACCAAGCCCACGTCGGCTGCTCTTTCTTTTATTCTGTGCCAAACTGAATGAAGGCAGTAACTAGTCTAGTAGCAGAGAAAGTTCTTTTTCTCAAATGGGACATAAAGTTTGCTTCTTTCAGCCAATTGTTCAGAGAAAGCATTTAGAAGAGAAGGAATTTGGAATTGTTTTGCATCTCTAGCTCAAAGATTTATGTGATTGATTACTGTATGGTGAGCAGTATAACATGGATTACACGTTGTATATGTGTTATGCCAAATGTGGTCAGAAAGTCTTCAATGTAATTTGTGACAAAAGTGTTTCATTTTGGAGAGACAGTAATTACCAGCCGGGTTGTCCAGGTAGCAGTTCTGTTTTGCACTTTTTAAGATTCAGGATCGACCTCTAGGTGGCAGCACCAGATACTTTTTTTCCTGTTTCATTCCAGCCTAAATGAGTTACGATATAAGCAGTAAAACTTTGAAGTTTCCTAAAACTTTGCAATAAGCTGCTTATTGCCAATTTTATGAGGATTTGGAAAAATTAATTTATGTGTTGAATTCCAGTTTGGGGGTTGTTTAAGCCTGGATTTTGACCTTTAAAAAGAAGCGATCCTAATTTTTTTAAGAAGTGATCCTAATTTTTTTTAACAAGACAATAAATGTTTTTCTAAAATGATTTTATTTAATCTTCTGTCATTTGCTTATTGAACTTAAAATTTTTCTCCCAAGGAAATCACTTTTTATATTTTTGTTTCCAACTAAACTTGTACAAAGGCCATTATATACCTAATATTTTAAGGTCAGTACAGTAAATTTTCCCTTTATATATATATATAAGATTTATTTGTTTATGCATACAAGAGCTGGGGTACAGGCCAGAGGTGTGTGTGTGGGGAGGTGAGAGGATTCACCAGAGACAGTGGGGAACAGAACAGGCAGATTGACCAAAGTACACTGCTGAGGGGAGCAGCGGGACAGTCAGGAGAGGTGTGCTGTGCCATGTGGGTTGCTCCCTGGCCAGCTCGGGGATCGAACTCATGCTGCAGTGGTTGCAGACAGCTTCACAGGTTGTGTTTTAACCCCTTGTGCCACCAGGGAGGCCCTCTCCCTTATATTTTTAATATTTAACACTGACCTATGACTAAGAGTGCTGAGATAAAGCTTCTCTTTAGAAAATTCAGCTTGGGGATAAAACTGGAGTTCTTAACTAGGCCAGATGCCTTTGTTATTGCTGTGGACAGATAAGGGTTGTTGTGGAAATGGACATTTACAGTAGGCATTTCATAAGGCCTGGTATTTTTGCATAACCTCAGATGCTTGTTGAGCATTTTTCCAAAAGTAGCAGGGGGCCCATTCTACTTTTGACTTAGCAGCAGACTGCCCTGGGCCTCAGGTGAGCTAAGTGGGCCATGGTGGTGTGAAAGGTCTAGGGCGAACTTCTGTTGCTTCCTTGTCACGGCCTGGCCAGTTTTGTATGTGTGCAAAGCTAGTGTTGCTTTGTTCTCTGATCTTTGGGCTGTGAAAGAAGCTGGCCTTTTAGAAAACCCTTGCTTGTTGTTTTTCCTTTTTTCTTACTTTTTGAATAGTTTTGGCCTGGGACATTGATGAATAATCATACTATCAAAGGTGAAACTGCTGTCTCATAATTGCAAGTAAATCAAGACTTTATGTGAATACGGTTGGATTCAGAACTAGAGTTTAAGCAATTTGCAACAGTTACCCTTCATGCAGAGAAGAAATGGCCTCATTCAAGGGCATGATCTCTCTCACTCAATTCCTCTGCTCCTTGTTGTCTTCTATTGTGAGGGTATATGTTCCCACATACTTCAGTAATTTGCTGTTTCTCTTAGGGATTGGTAACTTGTAAAATAAAAATGTATGGTGAGTCTTAAGATCAAGTGTTCTGTGTTACAATAATTTTTGTCATGAGCCAAAACCAGTTTTTCAAGTTGTTTTGATTGTGTATTCTTTGTTTTATTATATTTGCTCTGAGATACTCTATTAACTTGCTATATACCATGAACATGTGTTTCTTCTATTTTTCAAATGCATACTACAGAATGAATATAGTAGTCTAGATTAAATGATGTTCATTATTTTAATTTGCATTCATATGACATTTATTGAGTGCTTACCACATGATAGACACCTTTGAAAGTGGTTTGTTCTCTAATATCTGATTTAAACTTGAAAGAGCTGGTTGGTGATATGTCCTCCATTTTGCAGGTGAGAAAACTGAGACTCAAAATCACAGTCTACTTATTCTTTGTTCAACACATTTCAACTGTGTCAGAGTCAACTTCAAATCTTCTATTATTGCCAGATGTCACTTGACAACAGACCATATAGGATTTAAAATCTTATCACTACATTTTTAATACGTCTGTTAGAGTATCTACCTATGCAGCTGTTGATTGAATGAAAACAATAGTAGCTTTTGACAGATACGCTTTGACCATGGGTTAATTAAATTGGTTGGCCTAAAAATGTTCCTTAATAGTGTGTGGAAACAAAATAGCATAAACTATGCATCACTTGTTCTTGTGTCATTTTGATTGAGATATGGAAGGTATATTTGGTTTCCAGATTGTTGGGGATAGTTTGGCCTATAGGCTCCGTAAATCCATTGTTTTGCACATCTTTTACATTTCTGAATTCAGAACACCAAAAAACCATGTCGTGTTTTGTCTCAGATGCAGCTACTGAATTTTAACCACTGAATTAGATTGCAACCTACATGCTGTTAACTGCTGAGCCAAGATGGAATCGACCACTGCATTGAAATCAGGGTTAGCAGTTGTGTCTGCACTTGAAGGAGTGTAATGGCAGGGAACTTGTTTTATTTAATGGCATTTTTATTCTCTGTTTTCAGTTTTAATAATGATATTTTGATTTTACGAGGTTTTCTTAATAACAGTGCACGTTTTTATTGGAGATTTTCACTGTCACTTTAAGAAAATAATAAAACCATCCTATATAAGTAGTTGCTTCTGAACCCACATGTCCAGTGGCATATTGCTGCATTGTGTCAGGACAGTTTACTTGTTTTATTTATAAAGGAATCTTTGGTAACTAGAGAAGTCATTTGTCCATGTAATGTGAACCTTCTTTATCTTGAGTTCAAATGGTTGTGGATGTGTGCATGAATTTAAAATCATTCTTTTGTGAGTTTTCTCCTTGGAGGTATTTTTTGGATAAGGGAATTCAAATAATTGTACCTTTCTGGATTTGTTTTTTTCTCTTACATTAATAGGACTCGACCCTACTCAATTTAGAGTTCATCAGTATCATAAAGATGAAGAGAATGATGCTCTACTTGGTGGCCCAGCACAGCTCACCGATGAAGAGAGATACAGGGACTGTGAAAGATTCAAGTGTCCCTGTCCTACATGTGGGACCGAGAACATTTACGATAGTGTCTTCGATGGTTTGGTTAGTTGTTTCTTTTTGTTTATTGTTTTCATTTTGTGGGCAAATGAGTATAAAGACCTTTTCTCCACACTCTATGTTGAAAAAAGGGAGGGGAAGCAGTTACATGTTGCTTTTATGCGTTTTAAAGAATTGCAGCATCGTATAAATTCTGTTTTTGTGACTTTATTTCTTCTTGAAAACTCTTAGTAAAATGTGTTTGAATATTGTTTTTGGCTTCCCAGAGTGCTTGGCCTTGGTTTTTAAATGGAATCTCTTAAAATTTCTAAATTATCTTGAAGTATTTTTTATTGTAATTCCTTAATTAGTACCTATATTTCCCCACTCCCAGCCCCAATTTATTAAGACTTTGAGCAGTATTTTTCTTTATCTTAAATCAAGTTAATGGGAACTAAGTGTTTTTGGAAAGTTTTTGTTTATCTTTACACATCCCACTTGCCTCCTTTCTGACAAAGGTACTTTTGATTATCTTTTCTGCTGTCTTTGAATGTCAGACATTTAAAAAGTCACAGGAGACATTCCTCTCAAGAAGTACTGCCAAAAAATGTATCATTGACCTTGGATCAGAACTTGAAACTTGGCCAGTTTACTTAATTCCATTGCAGAGTTATACATGTACTAGCCATTGGCAAATGAGTAGGCAGTAGAATTGTGTAAAACCTTGAAACTGAAAGAAAATGCATCCTTTATCTAAATTAAAAGTAATTATTTTAAGTTAATTTGGACAAACAGCAGATGTTTAGCATTTTTTTGAATCAAAACAAAGCAGTCTTTGGAAGCAAGTGCAAGGAAGAGGCAGACACAGATCAGCAATACTTGCTAAATCCTTGAGTTTTGCTTCATTACAGCTGTAAATAAGATAGTTAATTGCATGGAGGCTTGACGACTTGCAGATGGGCTAACTGTGGAAGAGCCGATGTCAAGCTCTAAAATCTCTTCCACCTGGAATTGCTTAATGTGGCGGGTAGGGTTATGTACCAGATTGGAGCAGGAAACCAAGATGTTTAAATATCAAGAAGGAAAACAAATGTTCCAAAAACCCCAACAGTTTTCCTATATATTATATTTGCTTTGTCTTTGTTAAAAACAAAACAAGATATTTTCTCGAACTGCTGATAGTTAATTCATTCAAATTTCTATTCTTTCTGTCTCCCCCCAAATACGTTTCACTGGGGATGTGCAGGGGATTGACAGAAATTTTAGATTTGCCAGGCTGACAATAAATGATTGCTTTGTGGTAGAACACTTAATTTTCAGGCTTTCTTCTTGAAATTAAGTTGACAGTATGAAAGCAAACTAATGTCATTAGCACTCTTGCTTTATCTTCCAATTTTGGAATAAATAAATGCATATTTTAAAATTTGATCAATATCTCTACATGGGTATTTCCAGAGGGAAAATTATTTTAACCATAGAGTCTGTCATGTATTAAAAGTTAAAAAAAAATGATTTCAGCATTTTTTCCTTCAACTTTGTACTCTATTATGATGGTGGCAATAGAGTGGAGGATATGTATGAGAAGGGGACCTCTGGAATGAAAGTAGTTGATAAAAATAGGTTTAAAAACTCATCAATACAGTGAATTGAAAATATTGTCTACCAGGGAAAGCATGTATGTTTTTAAGCGCAAAATACTTTTATAAACTTGTAATAATCTTTTGTGTACCTGTCTGTCTTGACTTCTTAGGGAACCAGTATGGAACCCAGCTTGTACCGTTGCAGTAACATACACTGTAAGGCTTCACCTCTATCCTTTACAGTACAGCTGAGCAACAAATTAATCATGGATATTAGACGTTGCATTAAAAAATATTATGAAGTAAGTATCCTTAATGAGTTTCTTATATACACAACTTATTTAGGTTTGGTAATTTGTTTTAAAATAAAACTATGGTTTTGTGCATGTGGGCTTTCTGTGAAATCGAAATTTTGAAAAGACTTGAGGAAAATGATCGGATTTTTTTTTTTTCCGGTGAGTAGTACATCTGAGCAATATTTCAAATGAAATTCTTGCTTTTGAGGAGATGTGAGAATATAATGAGGAAATGTCTTATTTGTTACCTAAATAAGAATAAATTTTCTCTGGTATTTGGACAGAGGAGGAAAATCAATATTGCCTATCTTTGTCAAGTAGAGCTATAATAGCATGTGTGGTGATATTAATAAACTGCCCAGTTGCTAAGACTTTGTGTTTAGGTGGCAATCTAAACCATTTCGTAGCTTGTTTTTCCAAGGAAATAAAAATAAACATCTTTAAAATCTAAGTACAGTTTGTTTGGCATCTTAAAGAGAATGTCTAATTTGTATAAATATATAGTAAAAATGCCAGAACAATGAGTGAGCTATACACATTAGAACGGATTGTTTTTTGAAGGTTTCATTTTGTTTTTAACATACTTCATATGTATGAGGTTTTTTCTCTTAAAATTAAAAAAAACAAACTTCACATTTCCCATTTGATTTTTCTTAGTGTTTTATTATGTCATCCTCTAATCAAAATTTCTATTACTTGAGAGTTCACTGTAACTTTTTGAAAAATGCTATATGGGCAAGGCATTTCTTTTAAAATTGGATTCTTTTAGGTAAGTCTTAGGAGTTTGATCAATATCATTAATTTCTACTTCTATGTTGACATGTAACATAGCATTTTCTTCTTTACATCAAACTCCTTAAGTGAAAATCAAGTATTAGGTCATTTGGATGAAGAGTGAAAACACAGAGTTCCAGTATTGTGATTTTACAGTAGAATAAATTAGTATTTGTCAAAAACCAGAAAATCCCAAGTCGGTTTGTCCTAAGATATTTTTAAAATAATAATTATGACTACATTTTGGGAAATTTGAAACATTTTAGTGAATAATCCTGTGCTGTAGTTAATGAACCATTGGATGAGAATAAAGGTTATCTTTGGGTTTGCATTCCACAATAGATGAAATGTTGAGCACATGAAATATTAGGCCTTTATTTAGCATGAGGAGTCCAAATCAAAACTGTTCAACTCATTTGCAGACCTCAATGAGCAGAGTGTGATTCTGGAGTCTTGGGAAGAATTCCGAGTTTTCTCTGTATGTTTAGTCTATCAGAAGCTTCACCATGGAAATGTTAATGCTCATCTATTTCCTTGTACAAGAAGGGCTGGTCTGTTTTGACTAAGTTGAGAATAATCAGAAAAATGATCTCCTGTATAGTTAGAAATATGCCCTGAGAGATTGATTTCCAAGCCAATTTTGTGTGTTGTGGTGGTGGTGGTGATAGTGAAATAAGTGTTTTAGAAGCTAAATAACCTAGTTTTAGGGATTCAGATGTTTAAACCTAGGTTTTTAAAGCATTTGCTTTAATTGACTTGTCAGCTGGCCATTGCATTAACAGCAAGCAGTTGTCCACTTGATTGACTTTGCTAAGGATTTGTAATTAAAATATTCAGATGTCACCTTTAAGTTGAAGATCGATATGACTCTCCTCAAAATTAGGAACCTTTTTCTGTATTTTCTGATCTTATTCAGATGTGATTGGATCGGAGGGTAAGAAATACAGTATTGTTCCTTTTCATGGCTCCATGCTGAACAAATATTTCAAATTTTTTAGAGATCAGAGTTTTTGTATAGAAAACTTATGTACCTCTGGGTTCTAATTCATTGGCATACTCACTGCTGTTTCCTCCTGACTCCAGAATTAAATGAACTGTTGCCTGGAGCAGGACTTGGCCTTGAGTTTCTTTTGTTATTGTGCCTCAAGTTACACTGATTACATTTAGTTAAGTGGATGATACCACAGTGGTGGTAACCAGGTGTAGATTAATATACCATGCGTGCTGGAGATGAGGGTACTGGTAATAAGTACTGAATTAAGTGACTGTTAGCTAAAGCTAATGACCAAAATGGTTTCCTTCTATTTTGCGAGTTAAAAAGTACTACCCACTGGACATAAAATTTGTGAGTGGACTGAGAGCAAGAGTCTCCAATTTTTTTTTTTTTTTCATTTTACTCTTAGAATTACTGCAGAGGAAAAATGACCTACATTTCTGTAAGGAAGGAGCTTTAGGAAGACAGTGGAGGATTATGGTACTTGACCAAACAATGTAATCAGCATATATAGTGGTAACTTGGTATACTTTGTACCAAGGAACATAGTTTGCCATCACCAGGAAATGAGGTTGTCAAAAGCAGAGGACCACAGTTTAGGGTAATAAAGTAATACTTCTAATTCCTTTTTAAAAGTGCGTGTTCTATTCTGTCATAAATAAATAGTATTGACTGAATAAATGTGATGCACCGGACATTTTAAAAGTTGGCATATCTAACGATCAGTCTACATCATCTAATATTTTAATACTGGCTCCTTAATAGGAGAGTAAATGCTTTCTTTCCTCTCTTACCATAAAAAAATGATTGTATCCCTAAAATTCTCATTTCCTGGAATATTTAAATTTCAATATACACAGACAAACAGAAAGCACCAGACAAGGATATTTTAAGTAGTATATTAATTTCTTTAGAAGGGAAACAACTTTAGTGCTTTATCCCAAGGTTTGATGAAGCAGTGAAAGACTGAGGCTAGCACGGAAAGCTTTCGTTCCAAGTTGATTTCATGCCTTGGCCTTTGTTGGTTCCTCTGTACAAAGTTAAAACTGAGCTGGTATTTTTTGAGAATCATAAAAATCAGTTTAAAAACTTTTTAGGGATGTTTTTGAAAGACTCGATTTTACAGTGAAAAATTTATATGTGTTCTCTCTCCCCTTAAATCTGCTCCAGAAGAGCAAACACACACACACACAGACACACACACACACACACACACACACACACAAAAGGGAGAGAAACACTAGCTAATCTAAATTGGGAAATGAAGAGGGCTTTTTTTAAGCATGAAAATTTCATCATCTTGTCAGCTGGCAGAATGCCTGCTGTGTGGATTCACAAAGGCTAAGAATTACACTTTCATGAAATTTTCCTCACTAACTGCCCTGGTTAATTTGAAAGATAACCCACTGTTCTAATTCATTCCTCAATTGGGCGGTGCAGGTTTTATCTTTGATCTGACAAAGCATTTGTGTTAATCGTTTTGGCCCTCCACTAGACACTCTTGGGATTGTGCTTTTACAATAAATGTGTCTGTGATAGCTCTTTAGTCTATTATACTTACAATAGATCCATAGAACTGGTAATTAATTCTCCACTGCTTTGGAAATGGAAAGAATAGGTGTAGCTCTGTCAAGTGCTGCTGGGAAGTTTGTTTAGCTGGTTCATTTTTGAAGTGTTCCCCTCAGCCATCCATGAAACAGCCGCAGAAGAGAATCGAGATTGAGATCCTGCCTACCCCCAAGACTTGCTAATAAATGGGAAATTTGGCCCCTCTCGGTACCTGGGAAGGAGTAGTGGGTTATTTCATCTCGAGTACTGTTAGTTATAATGTACATTAAATCTTCTTTCTAATGCTTAGAGAGACACTTTTCTAAAGGTGGACAGGCAACTGAAATATGCTCCTAAATTCTCACCAATTACTTAGACAGGGTGTATGGTGTTCAAAGGAACCAAAATAGATTCCTCACCAGTCTTGTAGTGTTTCCAGATGCTCACAAGGAGCATTACTTAGAGTACTTCACTGTGATTCCTAAGCCTAGAGATATTGCTGGCCTTCCTTCTAGAAAAATTGACAGTGAACAGTTAGTGCAAGCCATGGCATCATTATTGTTGATTAGTTGGTAGGTCCAGAAAATAGTGGTTGCGTTCCTTAGAACTTTGCTATTGGCTTTTCAATATCAGAATTTTCCTGAAATAAGCTTTCTGAGGATGGGGGGTACACTGTCTTCCTTGTCTCATCTGTGATCCCTACTATAGCCCCTTGCTCTCAGATCTCTGCCATACCCCCTTGTCACAGCCGTAGTTGCTGTATCTCTTTTGGCCCCACTTTTATGGGGAATTCCAAAAACAAATCCAGTGTCTGTTGCCTCCTGTTACAGAGTAAAGAAGGGAGAGGGAGCGTTTGACCATCAATGCCGAGCCCCACCATCCTGGCTGTGCATTCCTCTAGTGGGGAGACAACACCCATCTGGGAAGTGGAGTGCCACGCTTTGTGGTGGATGAAGAATCCATGTTAAGTGAATTTAACAATTTTCCATCTTTGCCAGAAAAAAAAGATGCTTGTTATTTTTGAAATGGATATGCATTGCTCAAAGACAAGATTGGTAACAAATTCTACACACGTAAAATTAAGCCAGAGGTTGAATTGGAGCTACCTTTTATCAAACAGGCAAGGAGGGTGGCGCGGAATCCTGGATAAAATATTTACTCCACCAAAATATACACCCTTTCAGCATCACAGACAACACAATTCAAGGTGCCCAGCAGTACTTAGATTTCTAGAGGAATGCACAGACCTTGATTAGTAATTAAATCTGATAAATTAGAGATGAAGCAGCCTCCTACCCCATGGACACTCCCCGCTCTTAACCCTGTAAATCACTAGCAAGGCTACTCTCGTTCCCATTGCCTATTACTCTTCAGCTGTAGCCGTATAGCATGACAGAGCTGGAGTGTGGATAGGGCTATAGGACAGATAGGTGGATCTGTGGGATTGAGAGCTTGTACCGATGTTCTGTAACTCCTATTCCACTGCAAATATTTGCTGTTCAATAACCCTCAAAATTTCTCATTTCTTGCCTGTGGTGATGCAGGCTGATAGTTTTTAGGTTATAGGTTGCAATATGCAGTAGTCTCACAGGTACATTAGTTCAAAATAGTTTAAACTCTAAGCACTATTGGAATTATTGTTTATTTCCTTGCCTCTGCATTTATATTTAGAACAATTTAAAAAGAATAA